CCCCAAAACCCCAAAACCCCAAAACCCCAAAACCCCAAAACCCCATTATCCTTAATGTTTTCAGAAATGGAGGATATTAAACTTATTTAATACATTTTGAATTAAGAACATTATTTGCATAAATATGAGAATTAAATTATAATATAAAAAATAGAATCCTAAAACATAAAGTTTCAAAAGGGATCTTGAATGATGAAATCTAATAAAATAGCCAAACTTCTTATGCTTGTTTGCCTCATTGGAGCTATTAGCACCTTTGAGCTTACTAAAACTTTGGAATCAGCTAAAAAGTTCTTTGATATTTCGATAAGATCTGATAGTAAGAACCAACTATAGGATTCTAACAAAAACAACTCAACCAGTAACTCCAACTCCAACAATGCTAATGCCAACTCAAATAAATCAAGCACAAATTCTAGTGGCAATTCAAATAAAACAAACACAAATTCTAGTGGCAATTCAAACTCAACTAACATTACTAACAATACAGTTCCAACTATCCCAACTCCAACTAATGACAACTACACAACTGTTAGATATTTGGCTTGGGCTATTAGATCAACACAAACTGGAATTTATAGAGGCCTCTACAAGTCTTCAAACTACACTGCTAACGAGAAATGCATGGATAGAGTATCTGTTGATAACATGTATTACATGATGAGATCATATTTCAACAGTTCATTAATAAACTATGGTATCTTCCAAAGCATTAGAGATCTTACCTACTTGTTTATTCAAAATTGTGAATTCGATGACATTCTATATGATATCGCTGTATTCTGCAACACTCATGACTGTTCATTTGAGAAAATTGGAAGTAACATGATGGGAACTTTTATGCAAATTTCAGCTGCAGCTACTGAACAAGCAAACCTTCTTCAAGGCCCCCTTCCTAATATGAAAAGCTAAATAGAAGTACATAATTTCTATTCAAATTTCGCTCTCAACTTTGGAAAAGAACTTAGATATGCTCTAGATTTCTAATATAAACCATGAAAATTGAGAAGTTGTAGAAAACAACCTATGATAATTTGACATATTCAAAATATGTTACTTAATTATAATCAAATGCAATTATTCTATCATCACTCGTTCATACTAATCTAACATTAAGGGGTTTTGGGGTTTTGGGGTTTATATTAGAAATCT